ACACGGTTAAGTGTGTAAGCTGCTGTTAATAATGCATGTCCCCAAAAGGAGTTTGGAAGATCGACGTGACTCATCATGGATCGGACCATGTCTAACAAGGTTCGATTTCTTCTCTCAGATACACCATTCCATTGTGGTGTTCCAGGAGGAGTAAGTTGGGATAGAATCCCATACTCTTTTAGATGGTCATCAAATTCTAGGCTTAAATATTCACCGCCTCGATCTGATCGAAGAACTTTAATATTCTTACCTAGTTGGTTTTGTACTTCATTCTTGAATTCCTTGAACTTTTCAAAGGACTCAGATTTGTGTTTCATTAAATACACATATCCGTATCTACTGAAGTCATCAGTAAAAGTGATGAAGTACTGAAAACCTCCTCTGGCTGGTATGTTCAGTGGTCCACATACATCAGTATGTATGAGTGCCAAAAGATCATTAGCCCTTTCACCTTTTCCTGTGAATGGGGACTTTGTCATCTTTCCAATTAAACAAGATCTGCATGTCTCATATGATTCATAATCAAAAGAGTCCAAGAGTCCATCTTTATGGAGTTTGGAAATGCGTTTCTCATTTATGTGGCCTAATCGACAGTGCCAAAGGTAAGTTGGATTCAACTCATTAGGTTTCAACCTTTTAGTATTAATGTTATAAATTGGCATTTCAAGATCAAGGACATATAGTCCATTATTCATTTTTGCAGTAGCATAGAATATATCATTCAAATAAATGGAGCAACAATTGTTCCTTATTATGAATGAAAAACCAAACTTGTCCAAACAAGAAACGGAAATAATATTCCTGCTAATTGCAGGTACATAATAACAGTTCTCTAACTGAATTATTAAACCACTAGGTAAAGTTAAAACATAAGTTCCTACAGCTAAAGCAGCAACCTTTGCTCCATTGCCAACTCGTAGGTCAACTTCACCTTTTGCCAAATTTCTACTCCTTTTTAGCCCCTGCACATTAGTACAAATGTGAGAACCGCATCCAGTATCTAATACCCATGATGCAGAAGTAGATAAATTAATTTCAATAACAAAAATACCTGAATTTGAAGTCTCTACTCCATTATTCTTATCTTCCAGGTACTTTGGGCAATTTCTCTTCCAATGTCCGGTCTTACCGCAATGGAAGCAAGTGCCCTCCTTTGCTATTCCTCCACTAGGCTTCAAAACAGGAGGAGTGGGTTTGGGTTTGGCAACTTCCTTGCCTTTCCCTCTACCACCCTGTTTGATGGGCCTCTTGTTCTGTTTCTTTCCATTACTGACCATCAGAATGGATTTCCCTTTTGTCTTCATATTCTGCTCAGCAGTTCTCAACATGCCTAGCAGTTCTGGAAGACTTTTATCCAAGTCATTCATATTGAAATTCAGGACAAACTGACTGAAGCTCTCTGGCAACGATTGCAAGATCAGATCAATCGCAAGTTCCTTTCCAAGGGGAAACCCTAATCTGTCAAGGTTCTCCACATACCCAATCATCTTGAGTACATGGGGACTTACAGGGGCTCCCTCAGCTAACTTGCTGTTAAAAAGAGACTTTGAAACCTGAAACCTCTCATTTCTTGCTTGCTCTTGATAAAGCGTTTTCAGATGTCCGATCATATCGAACGCAGACATGTTCTCGTGTTGCTTTTGCAACTCAGAGTTCATGGTAGCAAGCATGAGGCAAGCGGTTTCATTGGCATCATCGAAATGCTTCTTATAAGCATCTCTTTCTGCCTTTGGTGCAGAACTAGGAGGTTCCTCCTCAGGAACTGGTGTCTCCAAGACATACAGCTTCTTATCGTGCTTGAGGACAATCCTCAGATTACGGTGCCAATCCAGGAAATTTGTCCCAGACAATTTTTCCTTATCTAGGATGGATCGCAAAATATTGTTCGATGTGTTTGTTGTCATGGTAATCTACAAGAGAAATATGAAAATATAAGTATCATTAAAACAACATATTTAATTAGGCCTTTAATCAAATATGCTCCCACTATTTTATTCAAAACAAATGACCCTCATCATTTGATTCGGAAAATCCCGTTGGAAGACTTTCTAGTGGGTCGAGATCCATGTTTCACTTTGTTTTAAGTCAGCGTTAGGCTGATTACACAAAACTAAGTTATTTAGGTAGGAACTCCTTCCAATTGTATCTCATACAACTCTCGAATATTTTCAATTGGGTGAATAACTCCTTATTCTGATCCATCACATGAATCATTCCCAATTCTTGCTTCTAAACATATATAATCTTATTATAATTTGTTTAGTTAAGTTTGACCCATTGTTTTAGCAATTGGATATTACAATTATCCCATCACACCTTACTAATATAGAACATGCACCTCGCGTAGGCGAAACCTACAATGCTCGATACTAGTCTTGATGAGTGCTAAAAATTGGAAAGCATAAACTTAATATTTAATTTTGAGGGAATTTGTTATTAGTTTGATCTCACCGGCTTAACATGCAAAACGTCTCTCACATGCATCAACATACAATTACATGCATCAACATACATATAAAAAGATACAATTATGGCCCCTAACGCAATTGTTCTCTCAAGCCAATGAGAGAACCTAAGCTAACCTAATAACGACCTAAGCTTCTCCAAGCATGATCTCCAAGGTTATCCTCCTTTAATATTGAATACTTCCTTTTTTTTTTTCTAACATAATATTACATTACATATAAGAAAACTCGTTTTACATACGAGGGAGTGAGATGAGAAAAGAAGTTACATAAAGAGATTGAGAGAGAGGCACGACACGCAGGCCGTATTCAAAAATCCCAAAACAATAATAAAGGAAAAACTAAGGCCATAACTGATCACCACAAATAAATAATAATAAACACACTTTTATTATTAGTTTAAAATTCCGATAATTAAATAAACTAAATTAAATTTCGGCTGATTGATCACACTTTGCAGACTTAGCCGGGGGTTCCGCTGCCCGTTCAGCGGACGGGGGTCAAGGGGGCAGCGCCTCCTTGCGGGGTCGTCAGGGGCAGCGCCCCGGCGAAAAATTTTATGAACACTTCATTGTATTTCACGTCGTTTCCTGCACAACTTTTGTGCATTTACAACCCCAACCGGAAAAGTCTGCGGCAATACAACACTTGTACTGCCATTAATCCTAATGCAACAATTTCATGCCGTCAAACACAACTCGATTGATAACTCAATATGATAGATCAATATGTCATTGCTTCACCATACTAATGTCGGATTCCGAAGCGAATGAAAGTGATGATCTTTCAAAAGAATTACAATCCTTATGTGATTGAATGGATGAAATCAAAACAGTATATCCCATATACCATCTTTGCATCAGAATTTCTTATATCTTATATAAAAGTGATCGATCTAATTGTGTAACCTATGGATGATCAATGTATCGCACAACTTCACCATACTAATGTCGGATTCCGAAGCATAATCAACATCAATCATCCAAATCGTACACAACAGATGCCAAATTTAATTAATCGTTTATTGTTAAATTCATTCTGTGTTTTAATCGAATCAAATACAGAAAAGACGGAAATTTAACAGCTATCAGATCCATGGTTTCGTAAGTGGCTCTGATACCACTGAAGGAAAATTGCGATCTAAACGCAGCGGAAAACAAAAATTTTCCTTTAGTGATCCTCACGAATGAGCATGGTCAGTGATAGAATCGTTACCTCTTTGTGGCGATTCAGATCTTTGATGCAGCGATCACAAGCGTTGATGAAGTGCAACGCCTCTACTCAGTCCACACGAACAGCTTCCGGTCACAGTGCTAGCTGCTTACGAACGGAATTATTTGAGTGAGAAAAGAGAATCAAAAACGAAATTGCATCAAGTGAAACTTCATCACAAGGGTTCCTTTTATAGACTCTCTTGTGGGCTGCGGGCTAAAACCCTAATTCACATGATCCATAATAATATTATATATTATTATAATAACTATTATTATAATAAATATATTTATTTTATTATTATTTTATAACCATTATAAAATAACAATAATTATTATTATATTATCCGAATTTCTATTTTTCACTTAAGTGCACCGTACCTTACGGTGTTCCTTTGATTTCTCTATTTCTCATCAAACTGTCCTTATGTGTGTGACCCTGTAGGATTTCGTAACGTTGGTAATTATATTAAATTATATATATTTAACATAATAAACAGTAAGCGGTATCTAGCAACACATCACTGCTACCCAAGTCACGAAAATGTCATGTGATCTGACAAAACCTTTTTCGTGATAATATATGTTTGTACAATTACCCTTTTGCCCCTATGTCTATATTGAACACAAGGCATACACTGTGTCATCCTTGTCCAGTTCAATATTGGGCCCTTAGACATTTCTCCTGTTATGCAGGATTGGCAAATTCCATCTAGGACACTCATGTCCCTCAGCATGCTTCGTGGAGTGCCCATCAACTGTCTTTATGATCATCCAGTTACGGATAATGTTTGATCAGCAATAAAGCACCCGACTCTACATCTAGGGTCCATAGTGGTTTCAGGTCGAAGGGTGGTAATACACCATTATCACCATGAGAATAACTTATGACACTTTGCATAACATACTATGTAGTATTCTCATAGCGGGTCAATCCGGTATAAATATTACTCCTAATATTTATACCTATGTCAAGACTTGATAACTCTTTATCCATGATCCATGAGATGTGATCATCAGTCTATCTTCATAATAGTCTCAATGCTTTTAATGTTATCCCACTTTGCAATAAAGCTTGACTACGGATATTTTAAGAATAATGTCTTTATGTTTAATGGGATCTCATGATTAAGTCACACTTAACATTTCATTAAACAGACTAACTATTCTAGGGACTTTATTATTCTGAAAGACAAACATAATAAAGAAATGCCTTTTATTATTAAACGAATAATCTGATACAAGTACCAAAAAGTATTGGCCTCTAGGGCTTACACCAACAGGTATAACACCTACTTTCACACGGTTATCCAGATGACACCATTCAAAGCACTTTACGGCCAAGATCCCTCCAAAATTCTAGACTATTTAGCCGATTCAGTAGAAGAGCATTCATTTGATGAGCCCATGCAACGAAGACATAATATTATCATCAAGTTGAAGGAAAACTTAAAGAAGAACATAATACAAATGGAAAAACAAGCTAACATGAAAGGAGTTGAGTTTACCATTAAACCAGACGATTGTTTTTCTAAAGTTGCAGTCTTACAGACAACAAACGATTAGCAACTTTAGGATAATAGTTTGTCTTCTGAGATATTCGTTTGCAAATTGTTTGTTCTGAAACTATTCTCCTAAAATTGTTGAAATCCTAAAACACAAAAGACTTGCCTCTTTATGTGATCTCGCATCTCTATTATCTCTTTGTTCTTTTTCTTTCTCATTTTCAATCATTCTCAGTTCTCTTTTTATACTCTGGCCATTTCACATCTTCCTATTTCTCCAAGTTATTGATTTTGTCTATTTTACAATTAATAAGTTGTTACTTGAGCTTAACAATTTACTTTCTTGTGAATCTACATTATGCAACAAATGACATCGATTTTAAGTTTATGAATTATGATATTTTAAGTTTAATTTTTACATATATGTTTCTACATTATATTCTACAGCTTTTTTTGTATATAAATTTTAAGTTTAATCTTAGTTAGTATGTTCCCACTACGTTGTTTGACGCAACAACCCAACCGATGAAAGGGGATTTGTCATTCCTTCATATTACGATGTTATACAAGATAAAGGGAACAAAAATAATAAGTTCTCTGCTACCTGAATATGCATCCATCACCTTTTCCACCGTAACAGAAATATGTCCTACAAGAGAGAGCAAGAAAATACTTATAAAGGATGCACTCGTAAGAAGACAAACAACCCACAAATAAAATCACTTGCCATTTGAATTATTTGGTTCGAATATCAGTGTTTCAGATATTGAAAACTTGGTTGCACCGAGCTTGGCCATTGTGCATAAAGTTTCTAAACGAGGAAACTTAAAATAACAACATTTAAATCCATCAATGCAGATCTCTAGTCCTAGATCATGAGAATGATCAATATGATAAATAGAAGTTTCCACCTACAAAAGAAAACAGCTAGTCTTTAGACCGTTATACCACCAGAGAGAACAGGACCAAAACTACCTAATCTTAAGTATATAATCATCCATATGGAATTTGGAAACAACCATCACAAACCTCTGAAACTCTCACAGTATGATTTAGCCCACCACTCTCACTAATCAATAAAATTTCCTTAGGAAGAAAGTTGTTAATTACTAATGGAGCACTAAGGATCAAGTGATGGATATAGTTCTTCTTTGCGTCATTAACAGAGTGATTATTTTTCAGCCAGCCAGAAGAAGTCAAGCTGATACTTTTAACTGATAAACAGCACCGAAATGGATGAATGCTTGGACGAGATGGATAGCAGATGAAAGATTTAAAATTTCCTACTTTGCTATTTACTGAGAGAAGATTTGACAGTTTATGAGCTTCACTCCACAGATAAGAGTTCCCCATTGGCCGCCACCTTACACAACCAGCTTCAGCCAAATGTAGTGGAAGTGGAAACTGTTTGATAGAGAAGGTGCGGATAGTGAATTAAATGAGAATGTGGACATTGAGTATTCAGCCAACAGTTTGGTAGAAGGACATGCTCTTCCTATCACTGGTCACAAATTAAATGGCCAGAATTACAATCAATGGGTGCGCTCGGTCAAAATCTACCTTCAAGGAAAAGGGAAGGAAGGTTATATCACAGGAGACTCCAAGTGTCCAAAAAAGGGGGATTCCAACATCGAAAAATGGCAATTAGAAAACAGTCTAGTAATGTCATGGCTACTAAACACCATGACAAATGAAATTGGAGAAAATTTCATGTACTATGACACTGCTAAAGAAATGTGGGATGCCGTAAAGGAAACTTACTCTAATGTCGACAATACATCTGCAATCTTTGAAATAAAGAGCATACTCCATGATTTACGTAAAAAGAAGTACAAAGAATTGGTGGAGAAAGATAGAGTCTACAAATTTCTATTAGGTTTCAACACAGAACTTGATGAAGTTCGTGGGAGAATCCTTGCAATGGCAGCAAGGGGAGATCAACGTTCTTTCCAAAAGAAAACTCGGCCTTGGTGTGACCACTGCAAGAAACCGGGTCATGGAAAGCCATCATGGACCAAAAACCGGGACAGCAGAGGGAACACAGCTGAGGTAAATTCTCACTCATCACCATTCAACGAGGAGCAAATGGAAGCCTTACAAAAAATGCTTCAACAAACAATTGGTACAGCTATTGTGGCATAAAAAGGTAATTTTTTGCATGCTCTAAACACTAGCAGAGGAAAACAAAATTCATGGATTATTGACTCAGGAGCATCTGATCACATGACTGAAGATTTGAATGTCTTTGATAGCTTTTCTCCATGTCAAAATGATTCGACTGTTCGAATTGCTGATGGTACCCTTTCTAAAGTCATGGGTAAAGGTTCAGTCATCATTTCACAAAATATTACTCTTAGTTCAGTACTATATGTGCCTAAACTTGACTGTAACTTATTGTCCATCAGTAAACTTACAAAGGATTTGAAGTGCATCACTAAATTCTTTCCTAACCTGTGTGAATTTCAGATTTTGGAGTCGGGGAGGACGATTGGCAATGCTAAAGAATGCGTTGGACTCTATATCCTTCAGGCTAAAGCATCTAAACCAGAATCCGGGGCAACCTCTTGCACTGTAGTTTCTGCATGTAGTGAAAATTCTGCAATGCTGTGGCACTATAGACTAGGCCACCAAAATTTTATGTACATGAAAGAAATGCTTCCTAAATTATTCAATAAAAATCAGAAGTTGTTTCAATGTGAAATTTGTCAATGGTCCAAACATACACGCAGCCCCCACCCACCTAAACCCTATAAACCTTCCCAACCTTTTTATCTTATTCATAGCGATGTATGGGGACCATCACGGGTCAGAAACGTAACTGGATTAAGATGGTTTGTCACCTTTATTGATGACCACACACGAATCACTTGGCTCTACCTTATGAAAGACAAATCGGAAGTTGGTAGGATATTTGAATGTTTCCGTACCATGGTGCGAACACAATTTCAAAGCAAAATTAGAGTGCTTAGGAGTGATAATGGTCGTGAGTACTATAATTCTGCAATAAGCTCATACTTTATGCAACATGGAATAATACACCAAACCTCATGTGTGGATACACCTCAGCAAAACGGGGTTGCCGAGAGAAAGAATAGACACCTCCTAGAAGTAACCCGATCTCTCATGCTAGCTACAAACGTACCTAACCAGTTTTGGGGAGAAGCTGTCCTCTCTGCAACCTATCTAATAAACAGAATGCCTTCCTGGATCATTAACTTTCATACGCCTTACTCCACTCTCCAAACCTTATACCCAACCAATCGTATCCTTACATCTATTCCGTTGAAAATATTTGGATGCACAACCTTTGTCCATAATCTTGATCCCCAACGCAGTAAACTTGACCCGAAATCCATTAAATGTATATTCCTCGGCTACTCTCCTCACCAAAAAGGATACAAATGTTATTCACCTCAAAACAAAAAATTCTACCACACCATGGATGTAACCTTTTTTGAGAATCAACCATATTACCCCAAAGTTGGCATTCAGGGGAGAACACCTATCCAATTAAAGTGGTAGAATCCCAACTTTTGGAACTTGAGCTAACTGAACCCAAACTCACTGTTGAGGCATCAAAACCTACACCTGAACCAAATGAAAATGCAACAGAAAATGCAACAGAAACTGCAGAACCTACACGTGGACTAGAAGAAACTATGTCAGAAAATGCAGAGGAAATTGCAGTAGAAACAACAGCCCCTACAACAGAAACTGCACCAGGAAACAACATGAAAGTGTACTCCAGGAAGAGCAAGAAGGTAATAGAGTCCTGCACAGCTCCAAGGCAGAACCAAGAAACCTCTAAGACTCTAGAAAATGGCGTTCCCTCAGGTAATACTGCTCCTAACTCTGTGAATGTTAATGATATTGATATTTCTATTGCTTTGAGAAAAAATGTTAGATCATGTACTAAACATACCATTGAAAGATTTGTATCTTATGGAAAAATTGTCCCAGAGTTACAAGACTTTTGTAACAGCTCTTGACAATACACATATTCCAAGCAACATCCATGAGGCACTCCAAAATTCTGAATGGGGCAGCAGCCGTAACTGAAGAGGTTCAGGCCTTAATTAAAAATGGCACTTGGGAGATCACAAGCCTACCTGCAGGAAAGAAGCCGGTAGGATGCAAATGGATATTCTCCATGAATTATAATGCAGATGGGAGTGTAAATCGGTACAAAGCTCGACTTGTAGCAAAGGGATTTACTCAATCATATGGAGTAGACTATGAAGAGACTTTTGCACCGGTGGCCAAACTAAACTCGGTTAGAGTTATTCTCTCTTTGGCTGCAAATTTAGATTGGCCACTCCATCAACTAGACATCAAGAATGCCTTCTTAAATGGTGACCTAGAAGAGAAAGTTTATATGCAAATTCCTCCTGGACATGAATCATCTAGCACCGCAAATATGGTGTGCAGGCTCCGAAAATCCCTCTATGGCCTCAAGCAGTCTCCAAGGGCATGGTTTGATAGATTGACTCGAGTTGTCAAGAAAAACGGGTTCAACCAATGTTAATCATATCACACTATGTTTATTAAACACACCATGGAAGAAAATGTAGCTTTTGTTTATTGTTTATGTTGATGATATCGTTATTACAAGAAATTATTATGATCAAATTGATCATTTAAAGGGACTCTTGGCAAAGGAATTTGAAGTTAAGGACTTGGGACAACTTAAGTATTTTTTAGGGATGGAAGTTACTCGAACAAAGGATGGTATCTATGTATCACAAAGGAAATACACCCTTGACTTACTTCAAGAAACTGGAATTCTCGGGTGCAAGGCAGCTAATACACCAATAGAACAAATTAAAGGAAGAGAAGATGAAAGTCCACCAGTCGACAAAGATAGATATCAAAGTCTAGTTGGGAAACTAATCTACCTATCTCACACTAGGCCTGACATTGGGTTCGCTGTAAGCTTGGCTAGTCGCTACATGTCAAATCCAACTGAGTCTAACTTGAAAATGGCGAATAGAATCCTCCAATACCTCAAAGGCACACCAGGCCGAGGCCTCCACTTCGAGAGGAATTCAAACAGGGACTTTGAAGTTTATATAGATTCAGACTGGGCAGGATGCTCCACAGACAGAAAATCGACTACAGGCTATTGTTCATTTGTGTGGGGGAACCTAGTAACTTGGAGAAGTAAGAAACAATCTGTAGTGGCGAGGAGTAGTGCAGAAGCAGAATTTAGAGCTATAGCCCTAGGTATTTGTGAAGGAATGTGACTTAAGAGCATTCTAGATGAAATCAAAATTCATGTCAACCACTCTGTAAGGTTACTATGTGATAACAAAGCTGCTATAAGCATTGCAAAGAATCCAGTCCAACATGATAGAACAAAACATGTGGAAATTGACCGACACTTCATTAAAGAAAAAATTGATCATAAGATTATAAGTATTGATCATGTCCCATTATGCAAGCAAACTGCAGATATTTTAACCAAAGCACTTCTAAGGAATACTTATGAAAATATCAAATCCAATCTGAGTATGATAGACATCTACCACCCAGATTGAGGGTTTGTGTTGAAGATTAACACATCAAATCATAATCATTTGATTCTGATTTGTCAAGTTGTTACAAGACAGTGGTGTAAATATATATATATATATAAAATGCGTCTATTATAGGAAATTATTTCTCTGTTTATTAACAAATTAGTGTACAACTTATGTATTCTATTTATACCTCACAATGTAAGAGTTACAATCACAATGAAATATACAACATATTTCTTCTATAATTTGTATTGATAAATTCTCAACTGAATTTATACAAAGAATATGCTATATATAGATAGTTAGCATAACATAAATAGTACAACTCAGCATAACTTGTTGTACATGTGTTAATTAGCTGTATATTTTATATTTAAATAGTTTTAAAGGATTTGATTAGGTGTGTATGTATTTATAGAAACTATTGACCCTTAATTATAGAATTGACTGAGGGCAATGATGAATATTTATTAGGGATTTCCTTTTCTAAGTACGTTGTATTCTATTTAAGAGCACATATTGCTCTATCAATAATAAAGAAAAAACAATTATCTTTGTCATGGCATCAGAGCTCCAAAATCCATAGGAGCCTGTTTAAAATTGTGGCCTGCATTGCCATTGTTTTCGCTGTGCGGCCTGCATTGCCGATTTTATTTTACGGTCTATATTGCCGTTTTCCCCAACAAAACTCAGAATGTCTGAACCAGTTAATACCCCTGCCCCAAACATTGGCTCCGTTGAGCTGCAAAATGTTCAACCTAGCTTTCGTCTCCGTTATGAATATATATATATATATATATATATATATATATATATATATATATATATATATAT